GACATTTTCGAAGAATATTTTTCTGCTTTTGTTATGCATGTATTTCAAGGTTATTATATATATAAGTCGATTTTTTCGTTATGTAGAAGAAGTAAATAATTTGAATATAATAAGGATTGTATTAACTGAGAATATGTGTATACAAACAAAAAGCAAAGACGCTTTCAGTAAGCAGGCAAAAAAAAATTGTTCTCTCTGAAAGCGCTTATTTTAAGCACCCTTTTTAAGGATTTATATATAAAAACTAGATCTTTTTGGGCTGGATTAGCCGGGGGCGGTATTCTTTTGTCTCCGATGTCCTGTTTTAAAATTAAAAATTTTCATAACATCTTTTAATTTTATCCCAATTCAAAGATATTACAACCGCTATAAAACTTAGGTTCTCTTCTTTCGATCTGTGTCAACAAAGTTTAGATTATATATCATTTATGAATAAGAAAAAACTCAAACTTTTATTTTTATATCTCCTGTTATGACTTAATTACAGAAACCAAGTTTGTGCCATTAGAAGTTGTTTATGAGGTTCTAAACCCTTGTCCTGTAGAACTAATATGTGGTATTTAAGTTATCACCATTCTTTTGATTTTCAAAAAATCACAGTATTTGGAAGGCGAAAAAAGAAAAAAATAAATTTTCTTTATTGTTAAAAAAATATAATTTGCTTACGTAACTCGGTGAATAAAGAGATTGAAATAGAGATACAGACCCACACTCGAAGAAAACGAAAGATAGATAGAGAAAGAGGAGGGATAAGAAAGAGAAAGAAATAGTGAGGGAGACGAAAGAGTGAGAGAGAGAGAGAGAGAGAGAGAGAGAGAGAGATTGAAACAGAGAGAAATTAAAGAAGAATGTAAGGATGAGAGAAAGAAGAAAGAATATACGAGAGAGATGGATAGATATTAAAGGAGAATGTAAGGATGAGAGAAAGAAAAAATGTAGGAGAGAGGGGGAGAGTTATTAAAGGAGAATGAAAAAAAAGTGATAAAAACAGAGAGAAATTAAAGGAGCATGAAAAAATGAGAGAAAAAGTAAGAGAGAAAGAGACAGAGAGAGGGGAGAGAGAGAGAGAGAGAGAGAGAGAGAGAGAGAGAGAGAGAGAGAGAGAGAGAGAGAGAGAGAGAGAGAGAGAGAGAGAGAGAGAGAGGAAAATAGCATATAAATGTATAAACCTAGTTTCTGTCATTTATTCGTTTCTCATCTCGGTTTGCCTATCCTCGCTTGGTCTGTTAGACTCCTTTCCGCATTTCGCCATCTACAATGTGTGGGCCTGACATCACAAGATCACCAATGAAATGCCGAAATTCGTCTGACAGACCACGACGATAGGCAGGCTCAGATGGTCAGTAAGATCAAATTAAAGGTTCACCACCCCTGATACCACAGGAGGAAATCTTATGTTGAATATAGTTTCTTCCCTGATAATTGCCAAATTTCCAGTTGTTTTCAGGTTTTACAGGCACTTAACTATGTCAAAATTATATTTCACAATCAGCCATAGAATGAAGATAAATGTAGTAGATATTGACTATTCATTTCTTATCCCAGGTTAAAAAAATAAAAATTCAACTTATTCAAAATAAATACATGCACAGAAAGTCAAATATTTTTTTCTAGTCAACTACAAGATTTTGTTCCAAAACCCGATTATTTAGTGCAGTCCACACAGAAGAAAGATGAGGCCTAATTGTTATATCGCTTGGAATAATTAGAATATTATTGGATCTTATTGGTAAAATTAGCATAGAGACACGCTTCTTTATCCCATCCGTTTTACTTTTAACACGCCCTAATTTTAAACCGCCCAACAAACGCAACCGCAGCCAAGCCAATTAAATCGAGTGAATCTTTACTTAAATGTTATTCTTTAATATGAAATTATCGACATTCGCATTGTCTCGATATTTCCGGACTCTTTTATTTTGCAGTTTATCGTAAATGGCAGTTGATATAAAATTATCCAGCTTGTGCGTGAGCAACTCAGTATTAAATGAGTCCGTTATTAACCAGTTACATTGCATGCTGTTTTAGTTGTATATAACAATTTAAATATTAGCATGTCATTTGTTAGTGTTTTTTATTATATACGTGAAGCTGATGGAAATTTGATAGTTAATCTATTGAAAAAATACGTGAAGGATAAAGTAAATATAAAAAAGTACCGCTCACCAATTTAATATATATTTATATATAAAAGTGTGTTAGTAAACGATTATGATAGTGAATAATTAAAAGTTCCTATGCTCATCCATAAATTAAGTTGTAAATTCAACTTTAAATATTAATAGATTGTTTAAACGGCCCAGGGGCACGTAAGGAAATAATTAACTCGATTGCAAATTTACGTAAATTATACGCAAATGAAACTTTCAGCACCTTTACGAATAACTGTTCGTCCCAACCCGACCATATATACAACAAAAATTTCATACTGTACATATCCCAGAACTAACTATAACTATATTTATGAAATGGAGGCATGTTTTCTGTAAGACATCTTCCGAGTTGTTAATTATCAGGTCCAGAGGTACAACTGTAGATTCCAGGATGCAGCTTTCGTTCGACCTACGTTCCGTTCCGGTTCACATACCTTTCTCTGGCGTTCCGTGAAAAGTCGCACATGAAACATTTTCGATTAAATAAAATGTGAAAACAAAAATCGTAATATATTTGTGTTCGTGTTTGTATAGCAATTGGCATTTTTTTCCCGTATGCCATGTTTTGGGTAACACTGTGGGCAACACTGATTCAGGGAAGAGGGGCTGTTCTTTTTAGTATATTTACGATTAAAAGCTGCAGTAATAAATTAAATCGTGTCAATTTATTATATTTTATCGTAATGAAAAATTGAGAGAGGGGGAGTGTGAGATAGTGAGATAGTTGACGGCTTTGTGATCAATCAAAAAGATAGATGATGATCGTGAAATAATCCCAAAGTAAGTTTTATAGAAAATGTTTGTCAAACAAGTACGAGATTGAAATTTATTTTCTATTGCAAAAATGATTCATTATGCGATTTTAAAATTGACAATAAGGGATTTATATCTTATTCTTGACAACAGGCTGCTTTTGAGTAAACAATTCGTAAATTTCTGCGGAAAATAGTAAAATACGCTAAAATAATAAATAATATTTTTTGTTATTTTTTTGTTAAGGTGGTTTGCGTTCAAAATAGTAAATTTTGTAGAGGACCGTGGTGGCCGGGTGGTTAGGTCGCCCACGTTACCGCTCCTGTAAAGTGGTTTTGACCCTCGTCCACCAGTTGTACGTTAAGCCCTCTTAAACGGGAGGAATTACATTACTTTTAGTTAAATTTGTTCCTAATTTTTAAGTTTGTGTTTTACGTTGTTTCACAGCTAAAAACCTTTTAAACATTAATAAAAATTAGTGACTTTCAATTAATAACGTATATACTTATAAATAATAGTACATTATTTAGATAATTTTCAATTTCTTAAATACAGTGAGAGACAAAAAAGTGGCCACTTTTTTTACAAAAATTTACTTAGGAAGCGAAATTTACTCTTATCAAATCGACATGTGGGGAGAAACCTCCGACAGAGGCCACCAACCCGGCCGCGGCCAACGAGCCAGGAGGAGGAACGTGCCTGCCATTTAGTTATTTAATAGTGTTGACTATAGATATTTATAAATAACGAGAGGGTCTCAAGGGAGATGTGGTTAAAAACCACTGTTATCAAAAGTCCACATTTCCCAAAACCCTGGAGCCAAACTCGCTCTGGAGGCCACTCTCTCCACCTAACAAGAAGGTGGCCACCCTTAATATTTTTAATTTTCTCTTAGACAATACTCCATTATATTACAACAATATTTGGTCACAGATAAAATCTTCCATTTGTGTTTTCAATTGGATTTTGTAAAAAAATCTTTGAATAGCCAATCACTTCTTTGTTGGTTTTTCTGCAAAACTTCTTCCTTACGTTCCCGTGGTTTAGCTTTTTTAAGTTGTACCATTTTTATGTTTCAAATTAGTTTGAATGATGATTTTAAGTGAAACAGATTCGGCTAGAATCATTGCATTGTTGGAAGATGGAAGAAGTCAAGCTATGTGGCCGGGAGACAACATTCCCAGAACAACTGGCCGGAAGAGTCTTCCATCGAAATCACATCAATTGGTCTGAGCAAGATCGGACCAAAATCTTGTTTTCGGATTAGGCAAGGTTTTGTGATGACCGAGAGAGGGTTTGCAGAAGAACGGGAGAGCGATATATCCCCGCAATATTTTCACTCCGGAGAAACTTTGGAGGTGTCTATGGAAGGTCGTACAAACTTGATTTTCATCGAGGGTTCCCTAACAGCTGCGCGATACATTGAAGATGTGTTATTAGAAGTTGTTCCTCCTATGCAACTAATTGGCGACGGTTTAATTTTTATGCATAACAATGCAAGGCCCCTCTCAGCTTGATATAGGCTCCAATTCAATGTTTAGAGTGGCCGGCATGTAGTCCCGACTCCCTGTAGAACCCCTTTAGGACGAGTTGACAAAGAGGGTAAAAAGTCGCCCAGTGATGCCAGGGGGTTTGCAGGAATTAATAATGGCGCCGTTGGAGGATTATGAAAAAATTCAAAACCTCATAAAATCGATGCCACGTCGAATGCAAGCGGAGATAAACACAAGAAGTGGAAATACTCCATACATTGAATATTTTCTTCGTTTCCATGAACAATGAAACAACATTTTTGGTAAAATTGTTATGCTCAATTTAATTTTTTTATTCTGCTATATCTCATTTTTTTAAATATCTAGTAAACAAGAAAAAATAAAAATTATAACATTTGCTAATATTTACTACAAACGAAGGTGGCCGCTTTTTTCCCCTCAGTGTCCCTGAGTCCTTTCATTTTTGCTACTCTATTTTTACATTTGGACTGTTTTATATTATGTAATATGAACGTTTAATGGCTAATTATTGATTATGGCAAAACTCCAGAAAGTCCCGTTGTTTAAGTAATTACATGATTACAATTTAAATATTTTTCAGGTTTTCGTCGGCGGTACGGCACGGCACAGGCACTTTTGATCATGCTAAGGTAATTTCCTAAATTCTGAATTTTAAATTTAATTTTTTTAATATATATTTTCTTTTTCAACAACATTTTCGGTCGTACTTTTGCTCCCATTTGATTACAGTATTTATCTCACTGGTTTGCACAGTGAACCTGGATATCGCCAGATATGAAATCGCAACGATGAGATCTGTAATTTCCGAACACTGACGAAACACTGTAATTCGGGTCTGTCATTTAATTGAAGAAACCATTGAATATTTCGTCATCACTTTCAAAAACTTATTATCTAATCTTTACTTTTTATCTTTCACAAGCCTGCAAAGGGATTATTGTAATTTTTGACAGAAATTATACTTACACATAAAATAGAATAAATTATTATTCAATTATCATTTAAAGAATTTTAACCAATTGGGATTGTTTGATAATTATTCTCGTAAATATTTCTGTTCAGAAAACAGAAGGATAGAATAAAAAGTTGTCACTAAAAATGAATAAATACATATTAATTTAAAATAATATTATTGAGACGGAGTCTAATGAATATTTCCATGCCATTTATGGCAGTAAATCAATTTTCCTCATTAATCATGACGCCAGAATAAATACACGCTGTTTTATTATTAAATGCTTCATATTCCACTAAATTTCAACTCAAAATGACAGAATTTATCGTATTGAATACGTAATAATCATACCCTTCAATATCAAAAAAATATGTCGTTACCCTGAAATATAAAAAAGAAGTATCGATACCCTGATAAAAAATGTATCGATAAAAACGAACAATACTCTTAATATCAAAACAAAAGTATCGTTCCTCTGAATAATCGGAAGAAATGTATCGATATCCTGAAGGATTGGTACTCTGAAAAATCCAAACAAATGCTTCAAGACCCTGAATAATTGAAAGAAATGTATCGATAACCTTAAGTGTCGATACAAACGATCAATACCTTCAAGTATGGAAACAAAATTATTAAGTAGTATTAACTAAGTTTATTAAATTATTAAGTTTCGATATCCTGAACAATGGGTAATTGCCCTACCATCCCTGACATAGCGAAACAAAATTATCGATACCCGAAGGATTAGAACGTTCTAGTTAGGATCTAAAGTAGTAAAATTGTTGAAAAAGCTCGAGAAACACACAAAATAAGAGTAGTATGAAGTCCTCAGGTATGTAATTTCCCCGAAAACCCATTTTTTGATTTCTTTCATTCAAAATATTTAAAATTACTTAGTACTAAATATTCTAAAATTTAATTTATCGAGTAGCGGTAGATATGGAATGAAAACTCAAAAAAAGAAAGATAAAAATATTGTTTATACATAAAACATAGACATTTAGAAAAAAACGATAGTCGCATAAACGAAGTTCACAGTAGTTCTCTTTCACAGTAGTCCCAAAGCAATAATTTTCCAAACCTGGTGCCAATCCACTTTTAGTTTGGATGTAGCTCCAAATTTGGAGAACAATCATTCTGCTTGGACCGTCGTTCCCCGAATAAACAAATATCTCTTTGCTAATTCAGCCCTTTCGTGGTATGTATTTTTCTAATCTTTCCGCTATTTGTGGGGGGCTTGGTTTTTGGCGAAGAAACGGAATCTTTGAAGGTCGAGGGTCGATTCATCCCTCCTGCTCGCTCTCCTTTTCTTTTGGCTTCGAACCAAATTTTTGTGGTGACTCGAAAGCCCATTGAAAATCAATCAGTATCATAAATGCTGCCTTCTGCTCACTTCTACAAATTATTGCCCAATCGTTATACGTATTATTATATTATAGTATTAATTGTTTGTAATGCTTCGATGCTTCATATTTTTACGTTTTATATACATTAAACGTTTCGATAGTCAAAGCAACTGGAATTAAGATGATTTTATGTTTACAGATTAAGCGTTTAGATAGACAAAGTAACGGGAATTGAGATCATTTTACGGTTACAATCACACTACATTTTTGACACAAATGTATTTTACATTTTCACTTTGAAGTCGATTATCAATGGGCTCCACAACCATATTTCTCCTTCGATGGCACCTAATAGTTTGACTATGCATCAAGCACATTACGGCATAAATCCTTTGTATCCTGGATTTTAGAAACATGAAGCATTTTCAGAAAAAAAATTCAAGGTATAAGTTTTACATTAAAATACAGCCGTGTAAAGCAGATTTTGAAGTTTAAATATAACGTTAGTAAAACATCAAGCATGACATTATTAAAAATTTATTTCTCGAATAAACTTGAAAAGCGTATATCCAGGAAAGTCAATATTAACATATACTATTACCAGTTATCAAATGCGGATGGTTACTAAAGAGTTTTTAAAGTAGCATGTATCAAGATGTAAAGTTAGTTCCAACATGGATTTTTTTTTAAGTTTTAGGGCCGGCAAATTACATTGGTCATCGCCAGTCCTGTCTTCCTTAGCTATACTTTTTCTCTTATCTTTCTCGCATATTAATAGTACTAATTCCTTTTCCTATTTCTCCAGCTGAATTTTGATATTTTATGGTACAACAGTAACCAACGCTCTCTTTTCCGTTTGTCCTATTGCTCTTAATTTTACCGCAGGGCCTCATTAATTGTGGATAAAATAAAACAAATAACATACACAGAAACAAGATAAAACATGATATTAGCTTTCACACAAACCCAAGTACTCGATATTTCTCGGGATAACCCTATCAATCACGCTAATAAATTACATTCACACACCAGTCTACATTCACATTACCTTAGAGTACTCGATATTCCTCGATGTAATTGGGGATAAACCCTACCAATCACGCTAATAAATTATATTCGCACATTAATTCACTCTACCCCAGAGCACTCGATATTTCTCAGGATAATTGGAAATAAACTCTACCATTCACGCTAAAAAATTACATTCACACACCAGTCTACACTCACATTACCTCAGAGTACTCGATATTCCTCGGGATAATTGGAGATAAACTACCTTTCACGCTAATAAACTACACTCACACATTCATTCACATTACCTTAGAGTACTCGATATTCCTCAGGATAACCCTACCAATCACGCTAATAAATTACATTCACACACCAGTCTACATTCACATTACCTTAGGGTACTCGATATTCCTCGAGGTAATTGGGGATAAACCCTACTAATCACGCTAATAAATTAAATTCGCACATTAATTCACTCTACCCCAGAGTACTCGATATTCCTCGGGATGGATGCTGTTAATAACCATTTTAATCGCAGGCGATCCACCCTGGAAAAAATCATATTTTCATTTTCGACTTCGCGAGCTCTGTACGAACTGTTCCTCGTTTATTGTTCAAACTTCTTTGATGCCGATATATTTCAGCGGCGGCTGAGCCAAGGTTTCCAAGGTTTATCATATTACATTGCATTGAGTTAATAAATGGAAGTGGGACAAATCAACAGTTATTTTAATTGGCGGATTTAGGCGTCAAAGATACTTTTTTCTCCCCCTCGCCGGCAATCTATCAATCTTTCGACAAACATTGTATTACCTTGTAACCACATAACGGCCGGAGAACTCGAATGGTAACGGTACTCGCTTGTTTGAAGGCTCCGCTAGTCGTATCGAGCCATTTGCCGAGTTGGAAGAGGAAAGTCGAAAGCGTAAAAATTATTTTGGTATTTTTCTTCATAAAACAAATAAAGATATAATTAACAGTATGAATAACAAAAAATCTGTCTGTAGAATCCGTCGGGAAACGGTTCATTTTTGACTCTATTTATTCAATTGGTCCGTTTCGTCCATATGGTTTTGCCCTTTTGCAAGTCCAACCGGCAGCTTTTGTTTAGATAATCCCCAGGCAGAATGAATCAGACAACATGACCACAGTATACGGGCACAATACACAATTGTGCTCGGATGTCTCAGTTAAATAATACGATAATTGCTAAATTTTAGCCGACATACTATCATATAACGTATATCTTCTTTTTCTACAACAGTACTACACTAAGAGGAGTCCTGAATCAAAGAAAAGTAACGATACCCATATTGATTGCTAGTGCGAGAAAATGGCATCGATACTTCCAAAATATCGACACCCTCTATTAAGGATGCAAAAAAGCCAGACACAAAATCCTCGAGATCAAACGTTAATTGAAATTGTCGAAATGGTTATGATGGAGATATACCAAGTCAATAGTTGAAAGAATAGCTCAACTCCTTTCCTCCGGAAGTTTCGTCTTAAGTACCGTTATAATAACATTTTCTCTTATTCAATATTTTATAACCTGTACAGTTTCCTTCCCTTCCATTTTTTCCGATAATCCACCGAATGTTAAATGGGAAATCAAGATGCCAGTCAAAGTATATATTTTTCTGCTTCCCTAGACACCACTTAGGTAGGTTAAAAGGTCAGAGAAAATGCCGAGAAACGACCAAGCAGGGCCTATATTTCAACCGGGTGACATACCCGCCGTACCACTCTCCGTTGCGACTCGGATGCGAATTCTGGCCATTATCGATTTCTGCGTAGACCTTCAGCATTTAATCTTTAATTTTATAAATCCCTGTTGACAGTTTCAAATAGCATTTCTTGTTTTTATTAGCGAAGAAACGGAAGAGGACAGACTAGATTCAGATCTTATGCTCTGGTGGTAAACGCAAATGGTTATCAAAAGCGTAGTTGTGATGGTTCAAAGGAAATACATTTCTTTCACAATAAATATATTTTCATATTTCGTTTACTCTTCCTTTGTCAGACGGTTTTATACATTTTGCCGTCTTCAGTAGTCTGTAACAGCAACACGAAAATAAGTAACAATTGGGCAAAAACGAGTTCTCCATTAAAGATGGCAAAATGCAGAAACGTATTTGGCACACCAAAAAGCGAGGAAAGGCAGCCCAAAAAGGAAGACCAGAATAGTGATGATCTGTAAGTGAAAACACAAAACAACGAGGATAGGGAAACAAAACGGCGATGATAGGTGGGGCAAAACTGCGAGTATAATAAATCCCAAACAGTGAGGACATGCCGTCCAAAACAGTTAAGACAG